ACTATTACATAATTACTAAATAATTATTCAAAAGCCAGTACCAATCGAAAAAAACCAAGTGAGACAATGTACGTTAATATACCAAAGTTTCTCAAGATTGATAAGCCTATATATAATAGTTATCGGGTAATAGTGTTATTATACATATCTTTCATTTATCTATTGATTTATTTATTTATTGATTTAATATTGTTATTCTAGGAATCACTTCGTCTAATGATAACGGCTAAATATGAAAAGAACGTGCCTGAGTTTCGACAAATACCTGAGAGCGAAAAAAGTGGAATTATTAAAAGAGTAAGACCCATGGTTCAATTGCTTCTATTAATATTTTCAAAATAATAAAAAATAATTTTTAGTTTAAACGCAAAAATCCAACGTTTCCCCTTACAATTTGTGACTGGGCTATTAGGCGAATGATGCAAGGGATAATTAATAATAAACGTTCGTAAGAATTAGCCAAAATTATGAATAAGTACTATTATATGAAACAAAAATATAATCAACTTACTCTACAACAGGTGATATTGAAAAGCGTAAAATGAATAGCCATTCATCTCACAATAGCAAAAAAACGAAGAAAGGTATAATCAGTTATTTTAATTATTAGTTTTTATAAACATTTTATTTTTTGGGGTGTTTTTTTTAATAAATAAAAGACCTTCCTATCGGAACACGTGAGACCATCGAAGAGTTTGTATCCAGCCTTGGAATGAGTGTAAGTAGATTATAATAAGTTATTAATAAACTACTATTAATTTTATATATTATATATTTTCAGACCATCGATCACAATCAACCTTTAGAAGTTACCAGAACTTCAAGTCCAGTAAATAACGCAAAAATAACTACCGATACTAGTACCTCTCATGCTCCATTAACTACTCTTCAACAGCAAAATAACAGCGACATCCCAGATATTAGTTCTACCACTGAAGTATCGAAAATACCAAGTAAAAAATCTCGAGCCTCTGGTCGCACATTACGTAGTCATGCTTCCAGGTATACTAACATACTGTGATTTGCAAGTTGGTTATTAGTATTTAATTAATAATATTGATTATATTTACATTATTATGATTTAGTAGCATTCATGCTAGCGCTCAAAGTAACGATCCCGTTAATGAAATTGCTGATGCCGTGAACTCGAAAAAAACTATTAAAAGCCGTTCTTTGAAAGTATCTAAAAAATCGAAGAATAATAGTATGATACAATTTAATATATAATATTTGAAATATTTATTAAAAAATTGAAATCTAATTTTTTTTTTTTTTTGCAGAAAAATAATCGCATAATAACATATGTATGTGATATATATATGCACAATATATATATATGTGCGGTAATAATGTTAATGAAAGCTGTGATTTATTTGAATATTAATTGCATGTATTTAGTAAATTATTTGCACAAAAATTGAATTAATAATTATTATGTAAGCAAGACATTGTGACAACAATAAAATATTTATTTGATAAAAGCTAAATACGCTTTATATGAATATATAATAACTAATGCGTATTAATTGTACAATTATTTAATGTTATTATGTTAAAAATTAAACAAAATTTATTTAAATATATACTAATTTTATACAAAAATCATATAAATTATTGTTCAATAAATTGTCCAACAAATCGACTCCATTTTGAACATTTTTTTGAACAAAAATTAGACAAAAACTAAACTTAAATGAAATAAAAATTGAAAATACTATTAAACAATTTTAGAACAATTTTAAAATATTTATTTGATGAATTTTTTTTATAGGGTTTGTATTATTATTTACTGTAAAAAAAATGTCATGTGTAAAGAACTTACAAACTATATAGGTGGCGAAAAAGTAAATGGACTAGTTAGAATTAACATTTGATAGGGCATTGATTTGTATTATTATTTACTGTAAAAAAAAAAAAAGTTGTATGTAAAGAACTTACTCGCTGTAGAAGTGACAAAAAAGTAAATGGATTAGTTAGAATTAATGCTCGATAGAGCATTGATTGGTGCCATTATTACTGTAAAAAAAAAACCGTTTCGTAGACACTGCATTTCACTGACAATTCACCATGTTCATTTTATCAATACTCAATTCACTGACAATCAACACACCAACACCCAATACACCAACATTCATTCACAGACACTCAATTCACGTCAATCATTCTCAAAGAAAAATTAAATTGATTATATGCAAATCGATTTTAAGAATCAGTATGGGCTAAGTCTAATTCCATTGACACGTTATTTCCTGTAATTTTCGGTTAT